AAAAAAAATCTCAGAACTCCCAGTCAAGTGAATTTTTATGGAATATGCAGTACTAATGCTAGTAAATCGGAACAGTTCTTTTTTAAAGGTGCGAGAAGCAAGCAGAAGTTGAACTCACGTTTTCGGTTGAAAGCTTGATGCACGTGGAGTAATGATCTGCAATCTGAGCATTGGACAATTGTGGGATTGCTGGAAGCGATGTCTCTGCTTGCCTACAAGACAAGTGCAGCCATAAGGACATGGATAAGGCTCTGTCTGTCTATCCATCTATCCATCTGTCTATCATATCTATCTATCTGTCTGTCTGTCTGTCTGTCTATCTATATCATCTACCAATCCATCCATCCATCCATTCATCATCCATCCATCCATCCACTGAACTTGGCCCAGTTTTGTAAACTAATCATGCTAAAAAGCCCACCTCCTTAAAACCTTCAAAGTGCATCCTAGCCACCACTGCATATTTGAGTGCAATGACTCTTTTTGGGCAAGTGTGTTTATGTGTGTAAAGATTGTTCTTACTTGCAGGCAGGAGACTGTATGGACAAAGGCGACTCAGTGCTAAACTGTAGATCATACACTCTGGAGCGTCTCCGCTGCTTCCTCTCCCGTTCATCGTCATTTTGCGGGCAGTTCTGCAGCACAGGGGTGCCAGAAGCACTGAGCGGCTGTCGCCTGGTGCCAGGGGACACAAACACACTGCCGGAAGAGGGACTGCCTTGGGAGCCAGCAGACTGTGGTGTTGAAAAGTTCATAATGACTAGGAAAAAAAACCACAATCAGACAGAGGTTCTACCTGACAGGCCAGGAATCCAGACTATTTACAACTAGAGACTGGAAATTTGTAGGCCCCGGGGGAAATGCTCAGCAATCCTCACTTTTGTCAATGTTGGGTAGGGTGCTGGAACAGAGCAGCTGTCAGATGTCACCTTATATTTGTGTGCTTCGCCACCATGCAATGACAGTCTGCCATGAACTCTGGGGAGGGTGGACGGGAGGGGAATGCTTGGGGGAAAGCGAAAGTAACTGCTGTATCTCGAAGATGCTGCTTCAAGATCACCGAAGAAAGCAGCTGCATACCAACCTACATTTGAAGTGTCCCTTCTGAAAACATCATTTGAGCCTGATTGGCCATGGGGAGGTCAGCAATGAGAGGCAGTTAAGGAAGGAAAATGTTGAACTTAGTTAGGGATTTTGACGATTCTCAGTTCTGACTATGCAAATAGAATTATATCTTTTTCAACCAAGGATTCAACCAAGCCAAAGATTGTTGCATTTAGGAGAAAGAGGTTAAAAGCAACTAATCCACAGATCGGTTAAGTAGCAATAGCACTTAGACCTATATACTGCTTTATAATGTTTTACAGCACTGAGCAATTTACAAACTTCTTGAGAGGTTTAAGTGCTGGCAGGTCTGACAGCAGCACCTAGAATGTGACAAGGGACCATCCCTGATGTAGACACTTTTTTACAGGCTTCCCAGAAACTGCTTAGGGCTGCAAAGCACTGTGAACCGGTATATAAGTCTATTGCTATTTCCCTTCCTTCCTTCCTTCCTTCCCTCTCAGTGGTTAGAAGGCAGTATTGAAGGCTGACAGTGCCCACTGCAAGGAGTTCGATCCTGACTGGTTCAAGGTTGACTCAGCCTTCCGTCCTTCCCTCTCAGTGGTTAGAAGGCAGTATTGAAGGCTGACAGTGCCCACTGCAAGGAGTTCGATCCTGACTGGTTCAAGGTTGACTCAGCCTTCCGTCCTTCCCTCTCAGTGGTTAGAAGGCAGTATTGAAGGCTGACAGTGCCC